CAAGTAATATTACATGAAAGATTCGTAATATTACAGAGTAATATTACAGTAATATTAAAATGTCTGCCTTATAATAATATTACAGGTAATATTAGGATAATATTGCATTTAATATTGATGCAATATTACAACTAATATTGTAATATTAAAATAATGTTTAGATAATATTACATGAATTTATATATTTAATGAAAAAATGTTGCCATGGCGAGAATCGAACTTCGAACCTACCGCACATCAATCGAGAGTCTTAACCGCAATAGATCACTTGTGCTTGTAGTATGGCTTTAACTTTTTGTGAAAGATATAAATCTATTCGTTGCTAAAAGTATTCCATATTTTACAAAAAGTTGATGTCATACTACAAGCACAAGTGGTCCATTAGTTAAAACTCTCGATTGATGTGCGGTAAGTTCGAAGTTCGATTCCCGTCATGGCAACATTTTTTCATTAAATATAAAGTCATGTAATTACCTCAATATAACTTGTAGTATTACACCGTAATATTACGAATCTTTCATGTAATATTACTTTGATATTAATGGAATATTACGAGCTTTGAGATCTAACGAAGATGAGCTTGACAGCTAGTATATAATAAGTACATAAGTAAAGAAACCAATTATTCAGCCTTGGAATATTTAAAAAAAAAATTTTAATTAAAAAATAATTTTTACGATAGTAAAACTTTGATTGTTATTTAATTTTTATCCAAGTAGAAAAATGCATTTCTGTCAGACATCTGCATTTCTTTTTAACAATAAGAAAATGTCATTTTGACTCGACGATAAAAAATTGAAATTTGTTACTTAAGTAGATAAAACTGGTTCAGTCAGGCATTGCATATTAAAATTTTAAACAAAAAAAATATAACTTGAGAATATAGAAGCATTATGTGAGCATATTTTCAAGGGTTTTGAACCCACCTCTCCCCCAAATAAGCATATTGTAATAGAAAAAAAAGAATTTTGTATGGCGCATTCGCAACTGAGGAATCCCTCCCTTCCCCTTAGATGCTTACGTAATAATTAAATGGCCCTTTTATATAAACAGTAGTTGTGTAGAATTTTGAAAAAAAATAATTTTTGATTGTACAATAAAATTTAATACATTTTAAACATTTATTATTTTCGACTGTTTTAATAATAAAAGAAACACAATATTTGTTTAGTAAAATGTACATATTAAATTATTTTCTATTAAATTTAATAATATAAAAATGTAATAAAATTAAAATAATTAGAGATGTTTTCACAAAAAGAAAACAAATAAAATATATAAACAACACCCTCATAACAAAAGGATATCCCTAGGATATCCATATCAATGGTCGATTTCCTAGAATGGTCCCCAGGATATCTTGGGATATCCAAACCGCCGGTCTGTGGGACATCAACAGGGCATCCATAGGATATCCCTAAGACATCCACAAAATATCTATTGGAAATTATATCGCAGGATATCCGTGGGATATCCTCAGTATGTCCGTGGGATATTCTTAGGATATTCACGGGATATTTAATATCTCAACATATATTTTTAAAGGTTAAAATTGTTAAGCTAATATAATGAATAATAATATAATAAAAACAAAAATCTTATGAGCTTCTAATTTATTTTAAATGAAGATTTGAAACGCATTTTTCAAAGTTTTTAAATAAACTCATGCACTTAATGTATAATTAATATTAATAGGTATTCGTTATTTGCGGATAAGAATTTATATTGTTTAAAGCCAATTTATTTTCTGACAATATTAAGCATATGAATAAAGGAATGAATCACAAATGAGAAAAAAATTAGTTAATAATTTTTCAATTTAAACAACTTTCTCGGAAAACAAGTTGCATTTAATTTTATTTATATAAAATTTAATTTAAAGAATATTCTCACTCGTAGTCTCATAATGACTATAAAAACAGTATCCTGAAAATATCTATGGGATATCCTGATTATATCTGTGGGATATCCTGATGATATCTGTGGGATATCTGGAGGACATTTATGAAAGTCTATAGAGATATCCAGAAGATATCCTGTGGATATCCTCAGATATCCTGTGGATATCCTCAGATATCCATGGGATATCCAAAGGATATCCAAACCGACGATTTTTTGGATATCCTTAAGAGATCCTTTTGATATCCATAGGACATTCCTAGGATATCTGCGGGATATTATCAATATATCCCAAGATATTTTGTGTTATTAGGGAACAGTTTCTAGCACATAACCAATCTTTCTCTCACTGTAATTTTCTATTCCATATTCCACACAAAATGTAACAGTACATAAAATAAATCAACAATATTTATAAATATTTTGAGTCAATATAATTATATTTAACGAAATAACTATACAAACAAATAATGTATGATTGAAAAAAAAATTTTGATTGTTTGTTTTAGATAAGAATTGTGGACCCTAGATTGTACACAATGGGAAAATTTCAGCAGCAAGGCGTTATATATATATATAACGTTTATTTAATTAAGAAATTTTATTCTTTTTTAATCCACTCAAACTCGCATCGATTTATTTCAATGTGTTTGAGAAAAAAAAATTCTTAAATATAAACATTTTTTGACCTTCTATAAAGTAGACGCGCCCCCCTTTAATATGACAAAACCGTTTTTCATAAAATCCAGAATATCCTAAACAAACTTACAGCTAGAAGGGTATTTTTCACAGCAGACAGACAAGTTTGAGGAGTTGAACATGGTGGTTGTGCACAATGAAGTTAAGAAGTGTATATATTGTTAGTTACTTTCTTTGGACGAAAATTCTAGAAATATCTTCAAAAAATAATTATTACGACGGATTGATAAAAAACCTCAACGAAGAGAAACCTCGTCAGGTGGTGTATATTCTTGAAAGTGAATTGGACATTGATGATTCAGTAATGAATTCTCTTATGACAGCAGTTAATAGGAATTTTCCATCTTTGATTATGACATACGATATAATAAATAATAAAACTCGAAAAGAATTCGAGGATTATTATTATAAATTAGGAGATTCAACATTGTTTATTCTACACAATAAAACTAACAAATATGAGGATATACTAGTAAATATACCTTTAACGTTTAAGCCGAGAATTTTAATTATAAATTCTTTTCTTTCAAGTCAAAACGATCTTAACGACTACTTACAGTGGCAATGGAAACGCAAACGTTCAGATATTTCTATATTGTCACACAATAGACAATGGAAAGTTATGCTTAACGATAGTCATAAGGACAAGGTACCTTTTATAAGTCAAATAAATTGTTTTACTGAAAAAGTTTTCATTGAGAATTTGTCATCTAAAAAGCAGTGGTTTCAAAATAAGACTCACAGTTTGTATGATTTCAATTTAAAATACATTCATATAATTAGCTATTCTTCAAATAAATCAATATATATTTTAAGACGATATGTAACCATTTTAGGAGTTAACAGTTGTAAATTTGTTATTCTAAAGACGTTAAAACACTCTAATGACATGATATTGTCTGAAGAATTTTGGTACCTACTCTTGGGAACAATTGGCATGATTTTCATCATTCGATTAACAGCTTTTTATATGAGATTCGAGAGGAGTACATGGAAAATATTCAACATCAGTCAAATTATAATTGGAATGTCTACTACGCGTGAACCGAAAAAATTTTTCGAAAGAATAGTTTTTGGCTTACTTTTGATAACATGCATTGTCTACTCAGGTTATTTTTATTCAGTTATTTTGGACATTTCTTGGCCACTAGAATCGGAAATAAACACTCTTGAAGAACTTGCTAATTCATCTTTAAAAATGATAGCCAAACAAAAAAATGTTAAGACATTAGAACTACTAAGTCGTGATAATCCTAACATTGCAAAAATAATAAATAAAGTAGAAAGAATTAATATAGCTGAAGAAAAAGAATACAATGATTATTGTATGAGATACTTGACTGAACATCAGAACATATCTTGTCTTTTCTTTAATGCTGAAAACGTTGTTAATGAGTACTGCACTAAAAAAGAGACAAATGTTAAAATATTGGACGAAATTGTTTTTTATAACATAATTGCCATCTACAATTCGCGATTTAGTCTTTATAATCGCCATAGTAAACCAATTCTATATGCTTTTGAATTAGGGCTGATTAAAGGTTTTTATCCGTTCAAAATATGGAACACTAAAATTTTGCCGCCAGAGAATATTGAGAAGGAAAAACTGTTCTTCGTACTATTTCGTGTATTAGCTATTGGATATACTCTCTCTTTGATTTTCTTTCTGATAGAAATTTTCACAACAATATTTAAACGCAGAATGTATACTCTTTACACGAGATTTAGATTTGTAAATTAGAGCCACATATAATCTGAGGCAAAAATAATAATTCTTCAACTAAGGTAAGAATAATTTACTTTTTCATATATTTATTCTGAAAATAATAATTATTAATAATTTTTAAGATTTTAATATAAAAATTAAAAAAATAAATAAATTTAAACATAAAATAATAATTTATTATAATACAACTAAAATATTATCTTAATTCTTCTATTCATACTAATGTTATACAATAATCTTATATTACTTAAAAATTACAGATTGTTTCTTTAATATTAAAATTCGTAGCGGAGAATGTTTAAGAAAAAATGATTTTTTTGGGCAATAGATGTAAAAGTTGGAAGAATTGCCAAGACGAATTTTCAAGTAAATGAAAGTGATTTGAAGTGATATAATAACCATTGTTTTGAATAATTATCTGCAACTATAGTTACTTATTTATTTTTATATAGTATTTTCATTATCTATTTAATGTAATGTAGCTGTTGCACCTACGTATCTTTAACTGGGTTTAAATATTTTGCAAGATTGTGTTTTCTGGTATTTTATTTTAAAACGTTATTTGAACAGAGGATTTTTCATTTTTGGTTCGAAACTATATATATATATATATATATATATATAATAATGATTAAAAAATGTACATGGAATAAAATTTGTAATGTTTTAAATAAAAATAAAAATTTCAATAAATTTTTTATTTGACCAGAGTAATAGCAGTTTATATTATTAGACAAATATTATAATTATTTTTTTCCATACACATACTAATATGCAGGAATTAAAGTCTAATTAAAGTGTATTAATTTAATGTTTCAAAGCACAATTAACAGTGATTTCCGGAGTTTCCGAAAAAAGTGGTAAAAAGACTTTGATATTACAGTTTTTGATCTCCCCATTTTGTTTGCTTTCTCCAAATTCAACCTCTATTTCGTAGATATCTCCAGCAACAATTTGTCGAGTGGCTCCAATAATCCTGATTAGTTCATAGGATTTTTGTAGATTCCGTGAATGTTCTTTGAGACCAAGTTGTGCGAATTTCTTAACTTCAGGATCATTCACATCAATTTGAAATGAAGCTCCAGAGGGAGGATCCGTCTGTAATTGTATTGATGTCATTTTATTTAGTGATTGACAAAGAATAACTATATAGTTTTTCAAATAAATGAAAGTTTTAGGCCATTTTTTTACTACAGTTTGTCAATTTAATAATAATAAAATTAAATTTCTTTGTCAAGACTGACTCGTTGAAGAGTAATGCAAATTTAGCTTTCACATATTTTGTTTTAATTTTTTGTAATGAAAATAAGGTTTAAAAGGTAACTATAGTATACCTTAAATATTTTTAGAGATACGTTAAAAAATATACAACAAACCACGATTCTGGCAAATTAATAAAAAGCAAATTTTTTGTTTGAAACAATAATTTTGTTAAGGGGGATTACTCATGAGAAAACAAATTTTTTTCGATTTTTTTTTTAATTTTTACAATCCTTTCTCCACAGCACCGAAACTTTTCTGAAGATTTCCTAAAGATTTATTGGAAATGTTCGGAATATTTAATTGCAATGTTTAGTGAAAATTGTGCTAAGATTTAAATGTCCCACTTAAATAAATGTTTAGCGCGAAACTTTCCTGAACATTTATTTAATCGGGACATTTAAATCTTTACACAATTTTCACTAAAAAATGCAATTAAATATTCCGAACATTTCAAATAAATCTTTAGGAAATCTTTAGGAAAGTTTCGGTGCTGTGGGGGTTAATGTCTCTAGACTACACTTCAAAAATGTAAGGACGAAATTTAGCTCTTATTAAAAGTTATGGTACAATTTATGTACATATTTTGAAAAAAATGTTACTACATTTTTATGACATTTAGTATCCTATACTTCCGGAAGAAAACGCACCAAAATTGACTTAAAAATATTAATTTTGTTTAAAGATATGAAGGATTTAACACTAAAGCCGAAAAAAACGTACTTAAACTTTAACTGCGTTTTTCTCAAAACGTTGTTTTTTTAAATCGGTTGCAGGGATCGTGAATAAAGGGATGGATATTTCGGCCTAATTTTTTTTGCATATTGTCCAAAAATAGGTTTTTTAGTGGTTATACCTAAAAAATTAAAAAAAAATTTTTAATGTTTTTAAACAATAAAATGGTGGAAAAAATGTCATGTTTCAACTTTTTTGTTGAAAGTAGTGCTATTTTTATAAATTTTATTAAAAATTATAACTTTAAAAAAATGTTAGGACACCTATAAATTTTTTTTTAATTTTGTAGAGTTTTTTAAGACGCATCTTTTGAGCTATTAGCGAACATTCTACACTGAGAAAAATAATAATGTAATGTTAATAAAATAATTTGGTGGAGCACTTTTAGTAAAGATTACAAAAATTTAGTTGACATAACAGTAACGAAACACAGTGGGCGAAAATACTATAGAGCGCGTCAAAATTATTTCTCCGGCGCATTTTTCATAATATTATTATGTTCAATGGCTTAAAACACAGCTGAAATATTAGGCTACAAGATCTGCCTGCTACTTTTTTGATATAACCAATGAGAATTTTATAAATCCCACTATAATTAAAAAAAAATATATTGTAAATTGTTATAATTTTGAATAACTTACACAATTTTCAACCGATTTTAAAAAAATTTAACATCAAAGCACATTTATGGTCACTTATTACGAATCTTAACAAAAGGTTTTAAAATTCAAAATGGCGGATCCAATATGGCGGAAAATTTTCAAAACTGAAGGGATCATTAAACCTTTCGGCTCTCGGGGGTTATTAGGGTCGCTGATTACGAATCTGATCTCAGATTTTTAAAATTCAAAATGGCGGATCCAATATGGCCGACAAAAATTTTAAAATTTATTATTTTTGGATCATTCTTGTTACTTGGAGGTTTTTGGGGTCGCTGATTACGAATCCGAACTCAGATTTTCAAAATTCAAAATGGCAGCTCCAATATGGCTGACAGGATTATAAAAATTCATTGTTTTGGACTTAATCTTGTTATTGAATCAGAATAGTAATGTATAATTCTTATTTTGTTTTTTAACGAACAATTTATTAATACCTTAAAATAAAAACAAAAAGGAATTTAACATATTATTTGTCTACAAAGTAAATAATTGGAATTTCACGACGATCAATAAAAAAAATACCATAAAAACTCATAACGCTAAAACTACAAATTCAGAACAATGATAAATAAACAATCAGAAACATAAAAACGTAATCTTAATAGTACACAAAACAGGAACATAAAATATAAAACATTTAGTCTTTCACCTTCAATAACTCTTTAGCTTCAGATGATAAGTCCGTCAATCTTTTTTCTATGCGAATTCTTAAACTACTTATAAATGGGTCTGATGAAACCAATAAATACTTAATGACATCTTCATTGCCCTCTTTACAACTACACTTTCTACTGTTAAAGGCTCGAGCATTTTTGAAAGTTTTGTTATTAGCTTCAAGAGCTTCTTCAGAAAGACATCCTGATGATAAACCTAATGCTTGTATTATTTGCCATCCATGAATTCATACTTTATGTACGGATGGAGGAAGTGGGTACCAATCATAAAGTTGAACGTACATTTCAGCTGTCTCCTTTGTGTACTCTTTAAATTTTTCGACATCGATTTCCTCATTACAATTTAAAACATACAAAATAGTTTTATATCTTTGAATTAGACTTTCATCAACTCCTGTGATTCTAGAAATAGTATGTGGCTGCTCAAAGAACCTTCTGGACGTATTTCCATCATTTGTCGTACCAAAACCCTGTTTAACAACATCTACAGTTAATCCAAGTGATGATTTTATAGCACTTTGGATCAAATATTTTTTAGCGAGTTTGATTACTTTATTGTCTCCTCTTTTGCTTGGTATTCCTGAAAATCTAAAGTATATCCAATATGCAGAATGTGTTCCATAAATCTTATTCGGCAATGCAAAGGATGCAAACCAAACTGCAAATATTCTTCTTCAGTGGAAAGATTCTGCACATAATCCAAGTTATTCGTCTTGCTTGGTTGAACATTACATAAATTGCAGCAGGTAGAAGCTCGCTGATGAGTTAAAATATTGCAAGTTTTGCCATCCATCATTGTGCACTTTAGATTATAACTAACTTTTGAATTTAGTCCAAGAAGAACTGACTTATAAGGTTTGAGATTTTGTATCAATTGTTTATAATGTTCATATTCTTCCAATGTGTTTTCCCTAGTTTCTTTTGAGAATTGAAATTGAACAGGTCTACAGAATCTTACAGATGATGGTCTTTCATTCTTCCACATGATTTTTTTAGTAGTTCCAATTTGAAGAGGAACTATAGATATTTGAAATATGGAGGCATCAGAAGGATCACCTGATTCTTGATCCTCAGTTAAGTCTGTGCTTGACCATTTTTGTTTCATATTTTGCTGTCCAGATGCTCCGTCCATTCCCCATTTAATATCAAAAATCAGGTTGTTATGACGAAATTGATTTAAAACATCGTTCTGCAAAGATAATAGCAATCTATCAGTTGTATGGTTCAACAAAGATTGCAAATCAATATAAACTTTTTCTTCTGTCACATAAATTTTTTCTGGGTAGCAACGACTTTTTGCTTCTGCTATAGAAGCATATGGAGGATAAATTTTGCTCTCACACATTTTCATGTGATGTTTTCTAAGATTTTCGTAATTCAATCTAGAAAGCTGAAAATCCATATGAGAGATTCTTTTTCAATCGCCCCAGCCCAAAAAGTCAATGTTCTGGGATTGGCTTCATACTTTGGTAAATTGTTGTCCTATATGATAGTAATAAATCCCTAAAATATAAACTCATTAAAAAAACATTTGTAGAAAGTAGAGGGGGTTGAAGTTTCGACGTTAAGGGTAACATTGTCATTTTCAAATCCGTATAACTATGACAAAAGTTAATGGATTTTAATTTATCTATAATGAATTTTAATGCATTTTTCACGTACTTTTCAAAAATGTTTACGAAATTTAAAAAAAAAATTTTAACCCCTTTTTTTTCAAAATCAACCCTTATTTTTCGATTTTCACCCCTTCGGGTATTTTTTTTTTTTTTTTTTTTATTCTCATTGGAAAGCTAAGGTTTTTTCCCATGAGCTATGTAAATATAAAAATGGGACAACAATAATTTTGTGAGAAACAGAATATTAAAGTAGGCGGTGCCGATAAGGGTGCCGTTAAGGGTAACATTGTCATTTTCAAATCTGTATAACTATGACAAAAGTTAATGGATTTTAATTTATCTATAATGAATTTTAATGCATTTTTCACGTACTTTTCAAAAATGTATACGAAATTTAAAAAAAAAAATTTTAACCCCTTTTTTTCAAAATCAACCCTTATTTTTCGATTTTCACCCCTTCGGGTATTTTTTTTTTTTTTTATTCTCATTGGAAAGCTAAGGTTTTTTCCCATGAGCTATGTAAATATAAAAATGGGACAACAATAATTTTGTGAGAAACATAATATTAAATTAGGCGGTGCCTACCTAAATCCTCAAAGATGATCTCCAGGTATACCCCTTATCGGCACCTCCTACTTTAATATTCTGTTTCTCACAAAATTATTGTTGTCCCATTTTCATATTTACATAGCTCATCGGAAAAAACCTCAGCTTTCCAATGCAAATAAAATAAAAAAAAAATACCCGAAGGGGTGAAAATCGAAAAATAAGGGTTGATTTTGAAAAAAAGGGGTTAAAAATTTTTTTTTTAAATTTCGTATACATTTTTGAAAAGTACGTGAAAAATGCATTAAAATTCATTATAGATAAATTAAAATCCATTAACTTTTGTCATAGTTATTACGGATTTGAAAATGACAATGTTACCCTTAACATCAAAACTTCAACCCCCTCTACTTTCTACAAATATTTTTTTAATGAGTTTATATTTTAGGGATTTATTACTATCATATAGGACAACAATTTACCAAAGTATGAAGCCAATCCCAGAACATTGACTTTTTGGGCTGGGGCGATTGAAAAAGAATCTCTCATATACATCGCTAGTGCTTTGTCAGAAGTAGAGTTTCTGTCAGGGATTGTTACATCTT